GGCGTCGAAAGAAAAGACGATCGAAGCAGTAGTGATCTCTTGATGAGAAGATACTAGAGTGAGCGCTTCGATTAAACTTGAACCTTATAGAAAGATCCTTTCGAGCGAAACACATCGTCTAGTCGATGAGTGTTTAAGCAAGTAAGAGCAATAAGAGACGTCCTATATCTACAGGAAAAAAACAACCAGAAATGAGTTGAGTCCACGTGGCTCGAGAGCTATCTGAGGATGTGATAGGATAAAAATAAAGAATAAAATGAAATAAAATCACATAAAAAGGAAGGAAATTTCAACTGGAATGCAGTGAAAATTTATGGTTACGTTGCCAGACGATTTAAAAGAAATTTCTACGACTTGTATAAGAGAAGAAACAGAGGTGTGGTCTCTTGTGCTCCAGGAAGAAGGTTTAGCACTTTGAAAAAGTTCTTTTATTACGAACCGTCTTGTTTAAAAACTAAAACGTTTATTAAAAGGATGTTATGTTACCCTTTTATTTTATCAGCTTTCCTACTTATATTAGAAGGTTATTTTAATTCACTTGAAAATTTCAATTTGCAACTTTGATTTAATTTTTTATTTTTAGATACTTGGAGTTCATTGCCATCAGTTTTAAGAAGATATATGTACGTGCTAGCTCGTCGATCAATTCTTCATTCGTGATAACGTGCGAATGAATTGAGATATCGACTTTCAGTTATGACTCTTCATGTACATGGAGAAAAAATTCCGTAAAATTTTACTGAAGAATCTTTTATTTCTTACTAGGATCACAAAGTGATGCAGAACTATAGCTACGAACCTAAATAATTTATTCAGTAACCTCGTAAAAGTTCTAATGGACTACCAAATGGATTCTTACTGTATTCTGAAGTGAATTTTACTTATGTTACGTATTAAATTTTCTTTGATTTAGAAAAAAGAAATTTGTATAATCAGAACGATTGATTATCCAGGTATACACATTACTTCTAAGGAGATACAAATGTTTTTGATGCCTTCATAGCAATTTTTTATGCACTAAAAAAAATCGAAAGTCAGATTTATCATGCTATGTTAAAGGAGTCAACTTCAAAATGTTAAATGGGAGATTTTATCCAATCGATCTTATATTTTAAAGTTGATAAATGAAATGTAGACGCCATGTTGGTCATTTTTTCCGATGGTCTCATTGGTTTGTTAAAAGAAGAATAATATCATAATAATGTACTATAGCAATATATTTTGATGAATAAAAGAATAAATAATTATTTAAATTATAAGTTTAAAATGATCATATAGAAGATGCTTATAATTACATAATGAGCTGGCGGATTTTTTTTTTGCACCAAAGAGACTGCTATAAATTTAGTCATTGTGGGGATTAAATGAGAAGGTGGCAGTGTTGGTAGACCAGTTGCACTTAGTCCTTTATCGGTATCAACAATTAGCCATGAAAAAAAATTAATGATAACTGTTAGAAAGTTGTTGATATAGATCCCTAGGGCTGCACTTATTCATAATTTGTTTACAACTGAAAGTAACAAAAAAGAATCGACTTCCAAAAGAATAGAACATAAATACAGATAGTCATAAGCAAAGGACAATGACCGCGAATATTTGTTGATGGTAGAAATGATGACCAGTTACCGCTTGAATGTAATACGGTGGCCTCTCTGGAGTGCACTAACGTCGGGGTAATTACGAGCACTGCAATCCCTCTCCCCTTTCGCCACGCCTACATTGCAGATCTATGAGCACGATGGATGGCGATCCAAGGTAAAGGAGTAAGGGATGAGAATAGAAGACTTGGAAAGGGGTAGGAGAGGAAGAGAAATGGCGAAGGGATGGAAATCCACGGCAGCCATCGGGAAGACTTTATTAGTGCCGAGGGAAGAGGAATTACCGTGAATCGGATATACGTGCGGGGTAATTGCCAACTACATTGGTCCAGGTATATACATAGACTCGAGGAGCTTCTAACGACACTACTTTAGTTTCAGCGTCGAGAATCATCCCGTACTTTACTTATATCAGTAGACGATAACGACGACTAAAAAAATATCCTTCTAATTTATTAGCTGTCAAATGTCTTAATCATTACTCTTCTGCTACAATGATCACATTTGGCGCCAAGATTGTTTTCAATTAAATTAAAACACACTGATAGAAGAGATTTGTTATGATAAAGGAGGCTTCTCAATTGTTAAAAAATATTTCATATTTATATAGCTTATAAAAAATACCACTCTACATAAAAGGACAAATTTTGCATTCAAACAATGCAGTTTCTACATCAAAGATAAAAAAGTATTGCTTTTAAAAATAGTTTATTCTTTCAATTCATGTTGCATCATGAATTATTAAAAATTAAGAAGTTATTTTCAATCAAAAGTCTTCTTTATGCAGCTTTATATCGAAGCCTTTGTTTAATTATTGAAAATGGCATGAAAGTAAGATGGAGGATGAAATATTTATTATCAAAGAATAATTTGTTTACTTAAAAATTGATTGTTACTTAGGTTGGATCATATTTCCAGCAAATTAATCATGACTTCACTATTCTGCTCATTGTTAATTCTGACACGAAGTAGTTTTAGAGATACACATTTACTTTAATCATAATTAACTAATTGAAATATTTATAAGCACAACTTTGTATTAAAATTTATCATGCAAGTTTCATACTTTTATTTATTATGATTAAAATGACTTTAATTTCTCTCAAGAAGTTTTCATTTAAAATAACTGTAATTGAAACAATTGTAAATTTAGGTACAAAATAGTTCTACTTTGAGAATAATACTAAGATTTTGAAATATTCAACCTTCTTGTTGAAAACAATACATAATTATCATATTCGTTAGTTTAATTAGATTAATTTATTGATGGTATCTTTTTGTGATATAACTGTTGTAGACATTATTTTGATATGGAAATCTCATACATATTGTGGGATAAAATACTGTCCTACATCTGCAGTTTTATTTTTTGAAGTTTTTTCTATTACGTGAGTGAGTGAGATAGATTTTTTAATACCTCATTTATCAAAATCGTGCCAGCTGTTCTGGAATGGACACGAGCACAGAAACAAACCAATACATGTTATGTATTGTTGGGATATATAGGAATCATTTAAAACTCAGCTTACGAGATGACTGACAGAAAAACGAGATTAACTTTACTAAATATTTACCAAAATTTTTTGCCACTTTCATTATAGTTTAAAAATACCTTTCAAAAGCTTTATATTCTGAGCTTTTGTTAATTTATTTAAACTAATTATAAATAAAAAACTTTAGATAAACAGAAAAAATTTTTTTAGAATATTTCTAAATATTATTTCACTGATAAATATTATTTTAAATAAATAAAATTAGTTTGACACTGTACTACAAAAATTATTTTAATTATATAATTATTTTTTTATTACTTAGCTATTGATAAAGTCCTGTTCTATTTGTTCAACTACAGAACATTGTTATCCAAGGCTTTGATAATATATATAAAACATAATTAAACAAGTTTTTCTATTTAAAGATGTACGTATTCTATAAAATGACTATTAGCAGATCTTAATTTTGATCTATAATTAGACTTAAATAATTATACAAAATTGTACCTCATTAAAACTTCATACAGCTGACAAGTTTTTAACGATACATATCCTGATGTAATAAAACAATTTTCTTCATCTTCTCATTAGAATTAACTTTTCAAAGGTTTACTAAACTTTAACCTATTGGTAGTAAAATTAAATAAAAATTATTAATTATATTGCAATCAATTACTGAGTAATATTTAATGTATTTAAAATATCAATTTTTATAAAAAATATGCACAAGTATTTTTATTTTTTAATAATCCCTAAACAAATAGTAGAAAATTTAAAAAATTTGATAAATGCATTTATTTAATTATTTTTCATTAAAAAATATTTGCAACATAATTCCAAGATAAATATGGTAGAAATATATTTTATTTGCCCAGTATACCACAGTAATTATTCTGAATATTGCTTTTATGCAAATTAATTAAATGTTTACTGACAGTATTAGCAGAAAAAAAATCTCATGAAATATCAATAAAATTCGATTATAAATATATTTATTTTAATCATTTTGATAATAACGATGAAAAAATTAAGCGATGCATTCAACTAGAAACGATTTATTATGACATTTCTCAGTATAAATGGAACGAGAGAATTAGCGGTTACTCTAGTCCTTGAAATCAGAGAGTAATAATCCATTGTGAAGTAAAAACCGTTTGAACAAAAAAAAATGTATGCATGTATTTTTTAAATTTATAACTAGATAATAGAATTGATAAATACCATGTTTATTTATTACTTAAAGATTAGTAATAACGAAGTAATGTTGCTGAATTTTTTATAAATGAAGTAATGTCAAAAAAAATTGTATTATGTAATAACAGTTAATCTATAATAATTTATAATTATCAAATCAAAGTAATTTTCAGGAGATTTACAAATTAGTAAGTATCATTCTCATTAATCAAATGAGATAGATAATTGTACGATCAAACGAGCTCGCCGAAGGCGAGCGAAGTTCGATCGAAATTATATAAAGTCTCGTTCGAAAGGATTACAAACGTAGTATCGCCTTCGTACTACAACACAACCACACATTCAGAGATAGAAAAAGAGAGCCCTCTATGACTCTCTACCAGCTTCCGGGTAACTCTCATAATTTTTACAGATATGAAAAATAAATAAACTTGGGGTGGGACTTTCTTTTATTATATTATATAATTAAAACTTAAGGGGTTGGGATGTAATCCTTTCGAACGAGACTTTATATAATTTCGATCGAACTTCGCTCGCCTTCGGCGAGCTCGTTTGATCGTACAATTATAGTCGTCTCGTTCTCAGGATTACAAACGTAGATGTTTAGAGTCCTAATTTTTTGGGTAAAAATTTTTTATTTATTTATTTTTCCAATTACATATTTTCTTACAGCATTACTTTACTTAGATTATAACTGAAGGCAGAGTATTTCAACTTAATAACTTATTATATTAGCTTGAAGACAAACTGTTTCAGCGAATATGCTTTTCGATACTTTAATTGGTCTATTGTAAAATCTTGCGAAAACCTCTGACGATTTCGTCCAACCAGCCGTTGACTTAATTGTGTTTATGTCAATTCCTTTTTTATATGCAGTTGATGTGGATGCATGTCGCGTTGAATATGCGGTAAATTCTTCTGGAACACCACTTTCTGTTAACACTGACTTAACCCAACGACTGATTGTTTGAGTAGACGCTTCTTTGTAAGGTTTCTTAAAAGTGATTAGCAGTTTGTCAACATTATTTCTTAATGAATTAGTAGCCTCAATATATTTTTCTACTGTGCTTGCAATACATAGTTGAGGTTTGTCTTTAAAATAGGGTAAAAACAGCAATGGTTGATTTACACCTTTTTTAGATGTTTTTGTAAAATCTTCAATTTCTATTTCTAATCCTCCTTCTACTTTTTTGATTTTACTTACTTTAATTAGTGCCAACGTTTGTATTCTATGAGCAGTGCCTAATGCTAACGAGGTTGCTACTTTTAACGTTAACCTTGACAACTTTAAACTTTCCAAGGGAAACCAAGTTTCTAACACATCTAAGACTATCTTTGGATCCCGGGTTTTATCATACTTCGGCCTTAGAGGACGATTTCGATAGACACCTTTGAAAAATCTATTTAATAATAGACTAGATGATAGGCTTTTTTCTGATAATAGGGATATTGCTGCTCTCATTGAATTTAGGGAGCCATAAGCTGCTCCTGCTTGAAACTTGTGAGATAAAAATTCTAATAAATTATTTTCTGTGATATTATATGGATCTTGCTTCTTTTCTTCGCAAAATCCAAACCATTCTTTTATTGGACCAGCATATTGTTTTATTGTTCCTTCTGCAAGCGATAGTATTACAATCTCTACGGCTGATGACGGAAGTCCTCTTTTTTCGAACGCTGTCCGGATAGCTTTCCGACAATCAAAAACATTTTTTGATGCAAGGGATGATTTAATGATCTGCAAGGTGATAACAAAAGTTTTTTAGATGGTTTGAAAACGATAGGTTTTTCTACTAAAAGAGTCTCGAAAACTGGAAACCAAGCCTGAGTGGTCCAATAAGGGACTACTAATATACCCCGTGCTCTGTCAGATACAATTTTCTGAATGACCCTAGGAATCATAGCAAACGGAGGGAACGCATAGAAAAACCAGTTATGCCAGTTGATTGTAAACGCATCTACGATGAAACTTTCTGGGTCTTGAAACCAGGAACAGAAAACCTCGCATTTTTTATTAATTCTGTTCGCGAAAAGATCTATTTCCGGTGTACCATATTTTCTAACTATTTTACGAAAATATTCGTTTCCAATCTCCCATTCAGTGTCGACATTGTTTTTTCCTGATTCTCGATCGGCATCTTCATTTTCTTGAGAGGGGATATACGATGCAAAGATCCAATTGTTTTTCTGTTCACACCACTGCCAAATTTCTCTAGCAAGAATATTTAAATTCTGATGTTGAATACCACCCATTCGATTTATGTAAGAGATTGCAGTCGTATTATCAACTCTCAAGAGAATGTTACAATTGTAAAGATCCGAAGCGAATGATTTTAAAGCAAAGAATATTGCAAGCAACTCTAAATAATTTATATGGTGTTTTTTCTCTTCTACAGACCATGACCCGTGAGTACCAGTACCTTCACAATAAGCTCCCCAACCTGATAGAGAGGCGTCAGTAAAAATAACCCTTTTATAACTAGGTAATTTAAAGGAGTTTCTAGAGTTCATAATATTTATTTTCCACCATTCAAAATCCTCTCTCAAATGCTCTGGCAACCTCATGACGCAGTCATATTTACCATCCTTCTTCAACAGCGACAGAAACTTCTCTCTCTCTAACTTCTTTGTATAGAGCCAACCATATTTTATTGCTGGACAAGCTGCCACTAAACTTCCAATAAGTTGAGCTAATAATCTGATTTTTACTTTTTCCTTATACATTATTTTTTGAATCTTTTCTAATAAATTATGTTTCTTTGACTCTGGCAATTCTAACGTCATACTACTTGAGTTTATCAAAAACCCTAAAAACTTACACTCTCTATCAGGTATTAATTGACTTTTTCCCTTATTTACGATGAATCCTAAAGACTCAAGAAGCTGCACTGTTGACTCTACATTCTTTGTACATTCTTCATAAGTGTTTCCTACACACAAAATATCATCTAGATATGCAATTAATAGTGAACCCCTCTTTCGTGCAACATTAAGTGCAGATCTTAAAACCTTAGTAAAAATGAATGGGGCTGTGGATAAACCAAATGGTAAACAAACAAATTCGTACAGTTTATTTTCGAACCTAAATCTAAGATATTTTCTACTCTCCTGATGCATTGGTATAAGAAAGTATGCATCCTTTAAATCAATTACAGCCAAGTAGTCTCCCTGTGATATAAGTTTTGAAGCTATTTTTATATCTTCTAGCTTAAAATGACTAGTGTCTATGAATTCATTGAGATTTTTTAAGTTTATTATAAATCTCTTTGTTCCATCTGGTTTATCCACTAGAAAATAGGAAGATATAAACTGTCCTTGAATGTCAGAACAAAGTCTGACAGCTCCTACTTCCAATAACTTATTTACTGTTATTTTATAATTTGTCAAGTTATCCAACTTAATAAGGTTAGGACTCGCAGGTTCCTTAGACTGATAAGGAGTTTCTCTAAACTCGATCTTATAACCCTCTATATAACCTATGATAGTTTCATTGGCAGTGACCAGTTTCCACGACTCCAGAAAGGATCCTAACCTCCCAGCATGGTGGGTTACCTCTATTTGTGACGACGATCCGATGACCGGTGAGTTGTTTTGGTTCTGCTGTGAGAGCTCGCATATCTCGAGTCTCTCTTGGACGTCATTCTCTGAGTTTGGGGATTGTACATCTTCTGTCCCATCCTCGAATATCCCGGATTCTTCGAAGATGGGTTCTTCCAGTTTAAATGATTCTGTGATTTCGAGGGAAATTTTTTCATTATTTGCTTAGGCTTAAGTTCGGAAGCCGCCTTTTCAATTGTTTTCGTTGTTTGGATTTTTTCCGCTAATTTTTCACCAAACAGATATTTGTCGAGTTGACATCTTTCGAGAGCATCTTTCCTGGATTTTTCTAATCCTGGCAGAATAAATGCTCTTCTGTTAATAGCCATTTGATGATGAGTTTCAGCCATTAGCATCCCTGCGTCACTTACATATTCTAACAACAGATTCCTGTGCTCATCTTTAATGACCTTTCCTTCAATATTAAGGAAATCCCCAGGCCTAGGGCTATCATAGCTGAACCTAATGATTTCTGTGTTTCGACAGCATGTTCATCTCGCTTCTTTGCCGCTGGTTGCATTATTACGGCGACTTCTTCATTCAGAATCTGGGGTTCTAACAGAACGTTTTCAGCTCGTGGATAAGCTGCAATGAGATTCTCCTTGATCTCTTTTTCAAGACCCTCTGGAATCCATGACGACCATCTCGCTGCAACTTCTGGGTGTATTGAAGCTATATTTGTATTTTTAAGTCTTGGGTCCTTTCCTAAAATATGTTGAGTCTCCTCATCTACCTCGGTTGATGAATCGACCTTCTCTGTTTCCGCCATATTTCTTTCCTCAGTGTCCATTAGCGTACCCTGTCGCGTGAGATTTGAATTATCTTGCGGTTCAGGGTGGGTCGGTAAGCTATCGGCTGGATTATTGATTAGCTGATCTCCAGTACCATTTCCCTCGCTTGCACTCTCTGCAACAAGCCATGTAGACCCCAAATTACACCTTGCCACTCGTGCAAGTATTACTCGAAATGAACAATCTGTCCCACCACTCGTGTGGGCACATTGTTTTGAATTTTCTATTGAAATTCTTGAGCGATCTGTCCCACCACTCGTGTGGGCACATCGTCATTAAGCAACCACTCTTCTTTTTACACTCACCTGAATTCGAAGATTGTTCGTTAGCAGAGTGGTTTTGCTCGCTTACTATTGTCCCTGTAATTTTATGTAAAAGCGATTCTAATCCTTTTAACTTCTTCCAAATCTTTTCCCGTTCTTCTCTTTCTTCCTCTCGCTCACGTTTTCTTTTACTTTTTCCCATTTTTTCCTCTTTTTTGATTAAAATTTCTTACTTGAATCTCTGAACGTGTGACCGTGCCGCGCACAAAAAACGTTATGAGAGTTACCCGGAAGCTGGTAGAGAGTCATAGAGGGCTCTCTTTTTCTATCTCTGAATGTGTGGTTGTGTTGTAGTACGAAGGCGATACTACGTTTGTAATCCTGAGAACGAGACGACTATAATCTATTCAAGTACGTATCAAAGCAATAAAATCTTACATAAAATTTATGAATATCAGCTGCAGAATTTCTACTTATATTATAAATCTATAATATGTATCCTCGTTTAGTTTCAAGGTAACGAGATGCAGTATATTCGAGCGCAGAATAACGAGTTTATATTATAGGTAATATCTATTTAGTGAAGCGAATCAGGAAGAGCTTGTATGAATGTATTTCTTTAAGAACCGATATCTTTGATGCAAAAGAGATGCGTAAAGTGTACATAAATGGAATAGGAATTTTTTTTTATCACAAAATCAGTAAAAAGAATGAGTAAACATACTAATGTGTTGAATATATTTATATTCTTGATAACTTTCACATGACACACAAGATCAGCAAATTTTCTTTCACAGCATGC